CAGGGTTGGTCACAAAGGATCTGGTCCGCGGACGGTCCGCGGTCCGGTCCGTCTGAACACGAAGGGACATGATTCACGAGCCAGATATGGAAAATTTTGTCTGCAAAATACTACTCGCGAAGAATTTGACATATTTTTCCCCATCTAGGCTACTAGCCGTCGCGTATATAGCCAAAAATTCATGGGGGACGAATAGTTTTATACATTTTGATTAAGCGAATTCCACATTGCGTCATTTTTGGCACGCCACTCTTTGCATTTCCGGAATTTGCATGTTGCATTTCGTTTCTCCTAGCAAATCAAAGCCCTCGGTCCGTCACGGGCCGGATCTGTCCGGTCCGGTCCGGTCCGATGGGAAATTTCGGACCGGACCGGACCAGACCGGACCCCCGGACCGGACCGGATCCGATTAGGATCCAGCGTGACCAACCCTGATTCTCACTCATTGCTCCGTTGGTACTGATTTTTTGCAGAATTTTTCCGCGTAGGATAATCGAGACAGCGTACCCTGGGATGACCGGGAAACAGATCCAGATTATAATGGCTATGCAACTGAAAGCGATTTGTTATTGTCAAGTTCACGACCCGTACGTCTTCTGAAAAATGCTCTCTTATCCAATGATTGCAGCAATGTTCGGATCATCAGGCCACAGCGAAATATTTCGATGCTCGATCAGCATTTTCCTGGCCACTTCCGGCGGGCTGGTCGACGTGGCGAACATGATCTGAAGAAAATGGCTACGTTTTTCACGCCCGTGAGCTATACCATAGAGGCAAGGGCCGGGACGTAAGCCAACGAACAAATCGCGTACATCAGCGACTGCTTTGGGGCACCGTTTTTCAGGACGTAATGGCGGTACCTGTATGAATACCTATGTATACCTTTCGACAGAGCCCATGGAATTGATAGGCTAGTCCCCAATCTACCGGAATACATCTAAAATCCGTCAAACCTTGTAAAAACAACGAAATTACCTGCACATTGCCATCCCTGCTGAAAGGCCTACGAAAAATTCGGCTAGTGTCATACTTAAAATCAAGTTACTTCGGTCTCAGGTTGTTCATCTACCTTCCTAGCAAAATCGAGTACGACCGGAACGATTTGGCCGTGTGGAAAATGATGAGATAGATGAGAAGCCCGTTGAACAGGATGGATAACACATCGCAGATCGAGTGGACTGTCGTGAAGAGTGCAGCTCGGAGCGGCGTGAACGGGAAGTCGATTACTAAAATGGGTAGTAGGGCCGTAAATTGCCTCCAAAATTATCAGTCTTTAATCTCCAGCACCCCGGTTTCCGTCAGTTGTTTTTACAACAACATTGGTAGTTTTTGTTTTTCTTCACGGGCAAGAGAATTTCACAAAAAAAATGCGTTTTAGGTTAAAACCCTGCACCCGATTTTCAGGGGGGATGTCGTGTCCTTATGCTCTAACGATCAGGCGGCTTACCAAATTGTGCAGAAGACATTGTTATTGGCGAGGAAAAATATACGGTAGAGGACTCTTGACAGGATAGCGCCCGATCGACTTCAAAATATCCTTACTGGGCGCACTAGTTAGGTATTCTAAAATCTGGCTTTTGATGGTATCATACCGGTGGTGGGGAACAAGTTATTAATAAATGGAACAAAAACGTAATCTTGAGGCCGTTCCGCGGTTTTTGGTATTTGGACCTGAGATGGATCTTGCGACGAGATCAAGCGCCCCGCCAAGTTCCCCCAATAAAATTACCTGTGAATTAGCGGAACGGCTCTCTCTCAAAGCGTTTTGCCTTGTCGCAACAGTATACTCTGCGCGATACAGCACCACAGATTTGGCCGGGAATTAGATTCTTGGACACAAATGGGCAGGCGATGTTGCACAGAACAGGCTAGGTAAACGATAGATTTAGGAATTGGCAAAAGATCAGGGGCCAGATGAGATGGACGTTGAAAAAGCTTTTTGACGAAGTTTTGACGATTTTGATTTCACCTGGGAAAGTGACCGTTGGTGCAGGTTTGCACCCAAAATATCAGCAGCAAGCTTTTCATGCTAATTTAATAAGCGCCAATAACAAAAAGAAGAGATGTCATTTTGTTTAGCGGATTTTCTCGATTTTAACCAGCAACGAATAAAATAGTTCGACCTTTAGTTCGACCCGTTCGACGCGGTAGCGTTTTTGGAGCGCCTACCGTAGCTCTCGCAGCGATTCTTTAGGATTCGCGGAAGGAGCAATTTTTTTGCCTGGCGGTCCCGGTCGCCCTAGTAATCAAACATAAAGCGTTTTTAAATTGTTTTGTAATAAGTTTTAGCTATATTTAAGGCAGTAAAACCTTCAAAAAAATATAAAAGTATTTGAAAAAGTCGAAAAAATTGGTGATTTTGGGTCCTTCCCCCCGCGAATCCCAACTAGGGAATGGTTTCGGGCGGACATCGGACCTAGATATGTGAGTATGTGCCTCTTGTAGCTCTCGACGAGACGAATCGATTGATGTAATGTTTAGATGCCAACGCCTTTAAATAATAAAGTTACACCGATAAGTGTTCTGGCATAGCTTCATAAGCCCTCCCTGCAACCCCGTCACCGTGGTCCAGTGGCCTAGTGACGTAGTAGTCGGCGTCTGGGGATTCTAACTAGGGTTCGAACCCGCTCACGATTTTTATTTTTTGCTTTTTTGTCCGAAGCTTCCACATTGCATTCTGGAGGCCGTGAATAACTTTTTGTACATTATTTATACACCAAGATACGCTGCTAGCGATAACACCGAAAATTTTTTGCGAAAATTTGGAAATTGGTAAAAAACGTAACCATAGTAGGGCTAGTTCAGGAGAAAATAAAATATTTATCATGGAACTTGGGGTACGCTACAACGTTGTAAGAGACGTGACCACAATTTTGACCGCTCCTCCAAAACATTTTCGATGCAAGAGCCAGGCACCAGCCAACAGATCAAAAAATTAATTTTTCACCCGAAGCTGTATTATCGAAGTTATCGGCCATTGGGACCCAAAATTTAATTTTTTATTAAAATTTGTGTAGTTTTTATGCTTAACACTTTAGAAACGCATCCGCTATTTATAAAAAAATTTAAGTTATACTCTATTGAAGAGCCTGTTCGAAGCCGGAATGAGCAAAGTAACCTTGAACTCGACTCAGACGCCGGTATTTATATTACTTATCAGCAAAAAGTCAATCACTTTTGCAGCCAGACCTTGCGGTGGGCCGCAAAGCCAATTTTCAAGAGCAAAATAACGGCCAGGAACGAACGGGGCGGAATTTGGCAAAGGATATTACATCGTTCTCGGCCTTAATACGCTTCAGTAGCCAACAAAGTTCATAGAGTTTAGCCCTGATACTTTCATCGACTATGGTAGCCGGGGACAAATAGAAGTAATCAAATTTTTGAGCGGAAATAGAATTTCAGGGCGCTTAGACCAAGTTTGCAAGATTGTAAGGGGGGTCACAAGTGGGGGAGCCCCTCCCCACGCCACGCGCCGGGGACTTTTGCCGGCCATTTGGGATGAGCGGACTATTTGCATATTTAATCGAGAAGACAATCGAGCAGACGGAATGAGAATGAAGGGCGGGGAAGATGAATGTTCTTCCAGGCTGCGGGTTTTAGATTGGATTGAAAGCTTTAGGTCCACGTTGCTAAAATTTTCGGCCTTTTCCGAAAGGCTTTTTTGTTATGATGGTGTGCTCGATTCCGGTGTGCTTAAACGGAATAAAAAGTGAATCCATTTGGGCAATACAATTTCCGATGGAATGACCCGAGAACTGAAAAATGGCCAGATTACTAGAAGTCAGAAGATAATATAAAAACCTGAAGTTTTTTCTGATTTGCAGGAATCTGTCAAGATTTAAATGGAGAACTCGAAGCATAATCTTGACAATGAAAAACATGAATCTTCAACACCTCGGATTTTCAGAATGGTCTCACCTTCTCTCTTTTATGTCCTCTCTCCGATGTCATGTCCTGCAAGCCCTGCTCGTCCGATCTGCCCCGAGGGTATCCAGATCCGGACCCATTCGTCACTAATCTGGCCCACCATATGGAATACAGAAGGAAGAAAATTCCATTTTCCATTTCCAGATATGCCCAGGTTCCTCGAAGAGGGCATTTTTATCACGCACTCGACTTGCCCGACCGAAGTTCTGCGTCAAAAAGAACTTCAGAGGCAAGAAAGATAAGGGTAGTACTAGCACTTTATTGATTTCACACCAATCGAAAGCGTTGTGGGATCACCGTTGCTGTGATTTCGTTAGATGCATTGGCCGGTAGACGACCGATGACCGAGATTTTCTGAAAAAAAGACTAATTGCTTTCTTTTTTTGTCATTGGCTATGTCATGCGTTTTGCATAAAAAATTATGGGGAATCGATACGTAAAGTCATTTCGAAAACTCACAACGTCAGTGTCATGTCATTACAACGCATCGTCCAGCGGAGCTGAAAATCAGTATGACTAGTATTATTTCAGTATCATGTCTTATCAGTATCAAGAAAAAGTATGACTCACCTCGACCAGCCATTTGTAACCGCCGCAACCTCCACACAACGTTGGAAAATGACAAGGAAATATAAATCTTGATATAGATCACGGATATGTATATAGTTATTGATCGCGGCATTAATAATAATTTCTGAACAAAATTGTACCCCATAAAAGATAAGTCTATGTAAAAGTCATTTCCAAAACTAAATTTCTAACCAATGATTTTTAAACCCAATCACAAAGACGCTCTTTCTGTTCTGCCAGTCCCTATTTTAAGCATCCCGACGGAAAGACTTGCAATCGAGCAAAACTATTTAGAGCTCAAATTTGAAACCTTCCATCGAGCGAGCATGCTTAATTTGAATATGGTCAGCATATCCGGGGGGACCACTTGGAGGAAAGAGCCACCCCCCATCCCCGTCCCACTAAAATTCACTACAACATCCTGACTAAAAGACCAAAACTAAAAAAGCTAAATTGCTCTAGCAGCGCTCTCAAACCCAGTTAATTGATCATCTGATAGAATATAATAATATCATCGAAGCCAGATCCTCAAGGCTCGAACGTATTCTGCATCAGCCGCCTTGCATTCCTCTTCGAATCCGTAGGCGTCATTCAAACCTCTCTCTTCAACATCATCAACGATATCGGGTATATGTCGGCTACGCGGGGGGGAAAATTTTACGCGGGGGACGGACTGTTGGGGCCGAGCTAACTATTTTTTGCGCTTCTTTTTGCTACAAACAAAACTCTTAGTATATTTTTCGACGCTCTGTCGAATGGCACTAAAGAAATTTTGTAAAAATGTCGAAAATGTCGAAAACTTGATTTCTTTCTATGTCCTCCATTGAAACAACGTTTAATACTTGTTTTTGTTATAACTATTTTATATTACATTATTTTGAGCTAAAATTAAAACTCTTAGTATATTTTTGGATGCTCTATCGAATGGCATCTTTAAAATGTCGAAAAACAATAGCGCGAATGTCGAAAACCAGCCGCTCAAACCGATTTTCAAAGCTTATTTTTGTATTTGCCATAACTTTTTTATACACTAATTTGAGCTAAAACAAAAACTCTTAGTATAGTTTTCGATGCTTTATCGAATGCCGTTGCAAAAATTCCGAGAAAATCACGAAAACATCCAAAAAGGCCTGCCTGTCCCGTCCCCCCCGCGTAAAATTCCCCCCGCGTAGCCGACATATACCCGATATCGCCGCTGCGCCAAACGATTTTCAGCCGCAAAAAAGGAAAAGCGTATGATGCCAATTTTCGACGCATCCAGGCTTTGTCGTTTTCTGCCTTCGGCCTATCCTTTTTCTTCAAGCATTTGATTTCCACAAGACATCCATTAACGTCATCTACACGGACAAAGCCGTCGCCCTGAACCAACACCAACATTTCCATATCAGAGATCCAGCAATGCACAATGTAGAAATCCAGGCAATCGCTATTTTGGGGCTCTTCATTCCCATTGGCGTCGATGATAGTCATCAAATTCTCACCTACTTTGCCATTAATAACAGATTGGACCGGGTTATTCTTCTCTCTGGCGCTGAACGTCTTGATTATCGACATTCCGCTGTTGTGATGAACTATTTCTTTTTCATAATCTTCAATTTTTCCTCCTAGGATACAATTCTGTCGCGAATTTCGTAGGTGGGCGAATTCCACGAGCGGCACGTCTTTGTACTTCTCCAAGATGGCTTTTCCTTCCTCCTCGCTTGCCATGTCATCCACAATTCGCACGATATCGTCCTTACAATGGGGAGCCCGGATGTAATTTTCGGCCAGTCCCAGTTTCTTCGCTTCTTCCTTAATATTAGCGCCCTTCAAGCAGTGAAGTTCTGCTCCCTGCTTGACGTTGGTGGCTGTCGGCAGGTCTCTTCTTATAACACGAGAGCGTTGAGGATCGTCCTCCCTGATCACGGAATACCTGCATAGAATCGCCGGCACGTGCAAAATTTGTTGCATTTTTTTTATTTTGATTGATTTGATTTTGGCAGGGTATCGCAGCCACCGTTATCACGCCGTGCCAGCGCAGCAGGGCTTACGAGGACTCGATTTTAGGTGATATTGGAGTTTTTGAACGAGACCTAGCTAGTTCGATAAAGACAGAATTCGGAGAAAGAAGTAGTTTTTGCTATCTGCTATCTAGTAAATCTGCTAACCGTGGACGGTAATCGATAAATTAATTTAAAAACCGGAATCGAATATCTTTTTCCACCCAGTCCACCGTTTCTGCTTGCTAGGTGCGCGTGTCTAGTAGTTAGTGAGTAGCTAGTAGTGAAACTCTTTTTGCTTTTAAAGGCTAAATTCGACTTCAATAGCATTAAAAACCAAAAAGCAACATATGCAGACCCAATCACTAGGCTACTTTATAATGTGGCTGAATTTCGCAGCGCGACCTATCTCCCAGGCCTGTCCAGTGCGGCAGCGTGGCGCCAAAAAAATTTTAAAACCTAAAAAAGGAAAGGAACCTAAACACCTCTCGTTGTTAGAGGTCAAATCAGTGCGACCGATCAGGTAAGCATGAGCAGGCCCGTAGCTGACCCGAAATTTCGGAGGGGGGAGTCCTGCCTGCCCCCGCCCCCTCTGCCCCCGCCCCACATACAGGCCTGACAATGAGCATGAACACCGCCAGGGATGAGGGCGACTTTACAATTAGATGTAGAGAAGTAGACGTCCACATGCGTTGGCAGCGGCGTAATGTTTAACATTAACACTGAGTTTGTTAAAATGCTTACTGGTAGGATCAATGAATTCCAAGCTAGCTCCAAACTCCCTCCAATCAGCCGGGCAAGTACATGCTGAATGCAAGTACAGCGTCGTGGTTTTAGTGCGTTTGTCTCAAAGCCATTACAGGGTGTCCCATAAAAAGCACCCCTCCGGCTTTCGCCATATTACATCCGATCGGTCCCAAAATTCGACCAGAGGTTGCTGGACCCTAAATAACCACAATCCAGAATTATAGCCTGCCAGCTACAATAGTTTTCGAGATATGCCAGATTTCTTTTCCGTTTTTCATAAGGTTTTTCTCGGAATCGGCCCTTCGAATATTAACTGAAAATGAAGCGGCAAGCTTTCTTCACCCCTAGAAATTTCTTTCTGATAATGGTTAATCAAATAACCGATTATTTCAACAACTTTTAGAACCGAGCGTCACCCCCGATAATAAGCGAAAAGAGGAATTGTAGCCGGTGATACAAATGCAAATCGATGATAAGTCCAAAAAGATAGCCGGAAAAACCGCTAAGAATCACGTAAAAAATAGTATTTTGGCGATCACTCGAAAACTACAGTAGCGATCGGGTTATAACTTCGGATTGTGGTTGTTTAGGGACTGATACACGCTTGTGCAAAGTATGGGACCGATCCGATGTAATACGGCGAAATGCCGGAGGGGTGTTTTTTGGGAGACTCTGCACTTCTAAAATCAGCGTTTCCAGGGGTCCTTGTAGAAATAATGGGATGCAGCCATAGTATGCTATTTAAGCACGCTGACCGACGGTTAAATAATTTAACGATGCCTTGAACCTGTTTACCTTTAATCGGACTTCCAACAACGTTACCGGTTACTCAAGCCAACTTAACCTGGGCAGGTGAAATTATCCTACTATATATAAAAAAATAGTTCCTGTGTATGTGTGTGTGTGTGTGTGTGTGTGTGTGTGTGTGTGTGTGTGTGTGTGTGTGTGTGTGTGTGTGTGTGTGTGTGTGTGTGTGTGTGTGTGTGTGTGTGTGTGTGTGTGTGTGTGTGTGTGTGTGTGTGTGTGCATTTGAATGCAACTTCCGTCACCGTGTCCGGAGGATATCTCCGGAGGGGAAGGGCGTCAGGCTACGTATGATACGTCATTAGGTGCGTAACGTCCCCGAGATGACTGCACGCATACCAGATTTTGCAAATTATGCTATTTTCGACATTAAAATTGAGTTTTTGTTGAAAAATCCGGCAGCGTTCTTTGTTAGGAAATAATTAGCATACGTCGGAAGTGGCGGAAGCCTATATATAACGTGAGAGAGTGGAATATCTCATTTTTCCCCCATAGAAATTCGAGAGAAGAATGCAGAGTGAAGAATCTCATCAAGTTAGACGGGGCCAGGGTTGAAAAGTCGCGAAGCGGCTTTTCAACCCTGGTGCTATCTATTCGCTGCGCCTGTACGTCATCTAACTAATTGAGAAAACCTGTTGAAACAATATGTCAGCAATCCCTCTGGAAGGCCATCCAGCAAATTTGAGTTCTGAACCCATTTCCGCTCTTCCTTTCTTCCTCTCAATCTCGATGTTCTTGGCTTCATTTCATAAAGTTAGCGTGTTATTTCTTTAATTGCTTCTTTTTGGAAGGCTGAAGTTCCACCTGTCGAGCCAACCAGACTCCGATAGCTCTGCCTTTTCGAGTCCACATAGGTTCCGTTACTATGCTCAATCCCGATCAACATCAGTTCGTCCTACTACTTTCCTACAATTTGCTTTGGTTTCTGAGTATAGTCACCGGTCTAATAGCCCTGTATTTAATGTACCATCATCGGCTGGCAACCACCTATTTCAAGGCCCTGCAAATAAATATATTGGTGGGAACTACCGGCCATGGATAATGCAAAAAGTTTCCAGATCGCTTCACTGCTTGCGGATGCATTCTTTTGCTTCGTCAAGCCGATATTCTTGCTGCCATATTCTTGTTTTCGATTTTTCGCCCCTTTGCCGATGGGGGCCTTTAGTCTGTTGCTATGTTTTGTAAGTAGCTAGAAACTAAAAAGAGAGAGAGAGAGAAAAAAAAAGAGAGAGAGAGAGAGAGAGAGAGAGAAAATTTCGCCAACCTAGGCCAGCGGTGAAGCCCTCAACGCGTACAGAACGTGCTCCTGGCTGTTCAACGGCGTCTCAAAGCGCGAGGCCCTAGACTTACAGCGTGGTAACCGCCTGTATATGATCGTCAAGGTAAGCATTAGATCATACAATTTCACAGATGTCAAACCGAATCAGAGTTGAAACCGAACTCCGGAGCAATCTTGCCATTTTTCTTTAAGGTTGGCATCATCACGTTTTTTATATTATACTTGATCTCGATATTCGGAACTCTGATCATTACTGCAATTCGCAAAACGATGTATGAAGGCTCGGAGCTGGTATAGGTTAATCAAGCGCTGCCTCTATCATCTGGCTCTCACTAACTAGTCAAAATTTCAGGACTGCGCGCGTTTTTCGTCCGAAGTATGCGCGGTGCAGGACCCGATCTGCGTCGAGCCCGAAGAAGCGAAAACCGATCCGCAACTCTTACGGGTCGGCTCGGTGTGCTGTTTTGTGGTGGGAACAGCCTATACCTGGGCCGTGCGCGATATCTGGATAGATGGATACTTCCGGACTAACACTTTTCAATCGCCAACGGCTCGCACAATGTTACGCACTTTTGCAAATATATTTATGTTGCAGGTATGTACCTAGGTATCTCCCTCATTCTCTCTCTCTCTCTCTCTCTCTCTCTCTCTCTCTCCTCTCTCTCTCTCTCTCTCTTTCTCTGAAACAATTCCAGAATTTAGGGCATCAGCAGCCTTCTCTTCGAAGTCCTACCAGTATCCTTCCGCTTATGGAGTACCTACAGTAACGTTGTCGATTATTTTGGTCAATTCAGTACGTTAATCCCAAACCATTCAACCAAGATTTGAAGGCGGTGTCGTGTATTGGGTCGGTTCCCTGTCAGGTCTGTTTGGCATTGCAACCTCTCTCATCAACAATATTGCCATCATCTTAATCAGCCGGTCGGCCTGGCGGACTTTGAAGCGGCGGCTTTTGCGCACTGAGGTACGAATGTGGTTTGTGACCTAACCCTTGCGATTTCTCTCTTGTCCTCTCTGGCTTCCATAATCAAAAAAAAATAAGAATAACAACCATATTCTAGCCCAGCCTCCACTCCTCCAGCTGGTCTGTGCGACAGTCTACGATAGCGGCCAACCGACAAGCGCATATCGACCAAGCAATTCCATTGAACTAAAAAGAATCTAGCTCGCACTCTCTCCCTCCCTCACAATCTCTCGCGGTCTCTCTCTATCTCTCTATCTCTCTCCATCCCTCGGATGGTGCCGTATGCGTTTAAGGTGTAAATTTTGAACTATTGTTCACCCTCATGCAGCAGAGCAAAACAAAAATTATGGCATAGCTTTATTCACATTTCATAACTTTCTCCTGATTTTCTGAATAAAATGCGTGATCTTCAGCGGGTAAAACCAGGCTAATTCGTTGCTGAAGTGAAATCTGTAAACGCCAGGAATCTTGCATTCCATTTGTTCCCGCAGCGGGCAAATCGTGGGGCCGGGCACTTTCTGAAAAATCCAAGCCACCATTCTATTTGGTTTTCCTCTCTATTTTTGATCCTAGGGATTTTCAAAACATTCTAAAAAAT